CCCCGAGCCCGTCCTCGTCGCCCTGCGGCCCTGCAGCCCCCGCCACCGGGTAGAACGGTGGCTTCGCCTCCATGGCCAGACCCGGACGGAGACTCAGACTCTAGTTGCAGCCGGGCGCCCCTGCAGCTAGCAGGGGCAGGGCACTTCCTTTCCACGCTGGGGACCGCCCCGCCCCGCCTCCGGTCGCCTGCCCTCCCCTTCCCCCCAGCGAGTGCGCGCACCCAAGTGTCCCTGTGGCCCGGGACTCAGCCTCTCGGACGTGAGATGTGAGTTGAAATCGCTGGTCAGCCACGTTTGGGTTCTTCTCCATGCCTCAGTGTCCTCACCCATAAAATGGGAACACTCTGGACTGCTCGATTTAATATAAAGCTTAGAGAAACCAGGCACATCTGGAGCCCTCTTATTGTGATGGTCTGGTCATCCCAACCCCACCTCAGAGGGTAGGATTTGTGGGGCAATTGATGGACAGCACCTCCCTCTACAACTCAGCATCCCGCACTCAGGATCTCTCCTCCTTGCAAATGGGAACTTGGGGAAGCCACCAGGAGGTTGAGACTGTGGCCCTTCTGGTTTGTTATGTTTTGTTTTCGGTACCGGGGGTCTAACTTCGGTCCTTGCACTTGCGAGGCAGTCAGTGGAACCACTGAGCTAAATCCCTGGCCCCTATGGCCCCTCTGGACTACTGGGCTGATCCTACTATCCTGCAGAGGGTCCAGCACCTCCAGCATGCTCTATGGGTCCATGAGTCACCCACCCTGTTGCAGTGGACACTCCAAACCTCCTGCATAGTCCAGGAGGCTGGAACTGATCCAGGATATGATACAAGAAATGAAATATGAAAATATATCTCTCAACTTGTTAGAGATCTGACACTCAAAGAATGGATTCTAGGAACAAGGGACATTAAGAGTAGGAACAGTAGATACTTACTGCTAGGATAGCTCCGGAGAGGCAGGAGAGGTCCCAAATGGGTAGCCTGGGGACTCCACTTTACAGGGAAGTTTTATAGAGCAAAACCCACATGGGTACAACATGGGTTCAGCTGTGATCAACCAATAATGTTACAAGTATAGTCACTTAGGAAATGGTGATCCAATTGGGAAACAAGTCATGTAACAAGTATGCAAAGAACGAAGTCTTCTTCTAGGAAATGATGGATCCAGAGGTCTTTGGTTACCCACTAGGGGTGACTGATCCAGTCTTTCTGGACCATTAGGCCCAATGTTTGTCTTTCAAGGAAGTCTGAAGATCTGGCACCTCATCGTTATCTTGAGGCCTGGTCTCTAACAGATATGTCTTCTGCCATGGTTATGTTTCGCTTTTTCCCGGCTGTCTTGAAGGCCTAATTCTATTTGACTGCCTATAATATTTCTATCTAACTTCGCTGTCTATAATAGAACCACCTGGAAAGTCCTTGAAAAGAGCCAGAAAATATCCAGCACCCCAGGAATATATTTCCTTCTTCCTGCAGCTCCGGGGGAGCCTCTCCCCACACACTATTTCCCTTCTGGATTCCTGTGGTTAATTGTTCCCACCGCCGACTGCTCACCTGGTCCCCCTTGTGCAGAGGAGTTAGTTAAATGATTATAAAAGTGATTGGATGGATGGACAAGTGAATAGATGACAAATAGCTCTCCCAGAAGGGTCGTCAGGAAATCTGGGGGCTGAAGGGATGGAGAACATGACTTTGCACTGGCTTCAGGCTTTGAGTCAGTGACATTATCTTCAGGCGACCTTCAGGTACAGCTGTGTTATGGTAAAAGAGACAGGTGTATTGTGCAAGTAGGTGCCTAGAAGTGAGACCTATACAGGGAACAGGAGAGGGCAGGGGCGGGGGTGCAGGGGCAAGGAGGGGCAGGAGAGGATGGATGCAATAGGTTCTTAGAGGCTGTGATGGTTGATTGGTTGTGTCAACCTGAGTAAGAGAAACTCAGCTAAATTGGCTCAGCAGGAAAGAGTGGCAGGGCCCAGAGCTTGACTCTCCTGCTCCTCCCTATGGTTCCACCGCCCCCTTGCAGCATTGTCTGAGGAGAAGCCCAAGGAGGGTGTGAAGACAGAGAACGACCACATCAACCTGAAAGTGGCAGGGCAGGATGGCTCAGTGGCTCAGTTCGAGATCAAGAGGCACACCCCACTGAGCAAGCTGATGAAGGCCTACTGCGAGAGGCAGGGCTTGTCAATGAGACAGATTAGATTCAGGTTTGATGGGCAGCCCATGAAGAACAGACACTGCAGCACAGCTGGAGATGGAGGACGAGGACACCATCGATGTGTTCCAGCAGCAGACGGGAGGTGCTGCCTCCAGAGGGACCGTCCCCCACCTGGCATTTGCTGTGGAGTGGTGAGCGCACACCCAAGCTGATCACTGGAGTCTGGGAAGCCAAGGACAGTCACCGAGCACCCACCTCTGTCCAGAACTGCATCTACAGCTTCAACTGGGCTAGGTTGTTTTTTGATTAGATAACATGAGTTGTGAGGTTTTTGTTTTCATTTTTTTTTCTCCCCTCCAAAACATTTTTCTAGGAGGGCTGTGGCCGAACGTCAGCTCTCACCCCAGAGTGGAACTGCTCCTGAGCTGCCTGTCATGATCATGTAGACAGTGCGTGCTTTCCCAGGGAGTACAGCTGTGGGACAGGGCAGGGTTCCACTTGCTTTTTGTACAGGTTACTACAACTGCAGCTTCAGGCTCCATCAGGCGAATGGTAAAGTTGAAGGGAAAAACTGGACGGCTTCTTGAAAAGGAAAATGTATATGACAAATCATAGCACGATGGGGCCATGCTCCCTGCTCCTGGCCGTGTCCCCTGGGGCCCTGAAGCTAGGATGCTGTCCCTCTGATCAGTACCTGGTGAAGGGTACCTGGGCAAAGATACCAGCTTTTCCCCTTTTTGTAACACAGAATAAAGTAACTACCACATTTCTTATTTGGTAATTGTATTATGGCCTCTGTCTTCATACAAACGTAAGTTTCCTGAATTTGCAATTACATTTCTGTGTAAAAGAGCTACTTCAAAAGAAACCATGGAAAGGTGACTGTGTTCTTCTCATGGATCTGTGTTCTGCGGCTTTCCAAGTATGTGTTGATGTCATGTATTAGTCCGGTGACTCCAGTTCTGTGACATGTGTTGGGCTCTATGCCAGTTGCAATGTTCATAGTTCTGCCCATTGTCCTTCTCTAAGGACCCACTGCTGCTTGTCAGCCATTCTCTGACTTTCAGGGCCACCTGACAATGACCTGCCATCTTTTGCTTGCTTAAAATTCTGCAAAAAGTGTTCTTTGTTTTGCTGTATGGGCTTGGGGTGGAGTGTTTGTTGGCTCTGTTGTGTTTATTCACTGATTTGTACATTATTTGTTGTCCTTTACTACTGTAAACAATATAGTTTGGTTAAAAAAAAATAAACAGGCTCAGCAATTCTACACTCGGGTGTGGAAGACCCACACAGGGTGGCTTGTCACCTGGATGTGTTAAGGGAAAATGAAGAAGCATGGATCTGCTCCTGTTTCTATTGAGAAGCTCCAGTTTGCCTTCATCTTGGACATCATCTGCTGGTTTCCATCACAGACTGTTCAGCTTCCAGTGAAGATCCTTCACCCTTCCAGTTGCAGACCGTGGACTTCCTGATATAGACTCAAAATGGGACACTGCAGTGAGCTCCAGATCTTTGACTAAATCCTTCGGTCTCCAGTGTCCAGACAGACCCTCTGCATTCTTACTCATCTGACTCCGTGGGTGGTCACTGTAAGCAACTCTTGTAAATCCTTATGTACTTTTTGGGGGGGTACCAAGAATTGAACTCAGGACCTTTCACTTGCCAAGCAGGTGTGGCAATGCTGAGCTGAATCCTCACCCTGAATTCTTATATACTTGCACATCTTGTATCATCTGTTTCTCTAGTAAACCCTGACCGATACAGAGGCTGTAGTCAGAGAGAAGATGAGGGTTCATTGCTGGGGGCTATGACAAAGTCCAGGCTGTGGCCATAGAAGATGTAAGTGACCATGGGGCCAGCAAAGGGTAAACTTTGAATATCCAGGAGAATTCCTCCCTATAGAATTCAAGGAGCGGTGTATGGCCAGGAGGCAGAAATGGCTGCAGAGGGGAATAGCAAGGTTGCAGAAAGTGGCCTTGATATAGATAATATAGTTAGGGCTACTGGGCTTCTCCCCTCCACTCCCTGCTGGACCACAACCCTCCACTCACCTGAACCTGAGTAGTACTCAGCGCCAACCCATATCCCTTGTCCTGTGGCTTACTACAGGGAGGCATAAATTAAAAAAAAGAAAGAAAGAAAAAAAAAGAAAAGCAGACTCCCAAGCCTGCTCCAGAAAATTCCAAACCATGATGGATGTGCACCAATGACCTACAATAACCTTTCTTCACCTGGAGCTCATTGAAGGTTCATGTGTATGAACTATACCTGGTATATCCATTTATAATGCAGGAGCCTGCTCACTCTAAGTGTACTGTCACCTTAATAAACTTCACTGCTCTTTCCTTACCGTTGCGTGCCACATCCAATTCTCTGTTCATCACATGAGCACAAGAACCTAGGAAGCTGTCTCAGATCCCACCACCCATGGTAACATCTTGGCAAGCCAGCTAGAAAGTAAGACCCCTT